GTATGAGTGACATCAGTCTTGTGTTAGAGCCCAGAAACCTCAAGTTTTAATGGAGAGTTGCATCACCTAGAGACTTTCAGTTGCCCAGGCTGTTGGGCCAACTGCCATTAGCAATATTGTAAAAAGAGGTCCAGGGAAGCGATGTCAGAGTCCCTGTCTCTGTCCATATCTGGGCCATAAAAATGTCACAAGAAAAACACTGAGCTGAAGTCCTAAACGTCAAAGTATTTACCAGATAAAAATTAATTGAAAAGTTTTTTTAAAAGAGTGTATTTGGCAGGTATGATGATAGCATATGCCTTTAATCCCAGCACTTGGGAGACAGGCATGTCTGCGATTTCAATGCCATCCAGATCAGGCACCCTGATGACAAGTTTTAAGCCATCCAGACCTTCATAGTGAGACTCTGTCTTAAAAAATAACCACCTCCACCTCCACCACCACCACCACCACCACCACCACCACCACCACCATCAACATCGTGCTGTGAGACACAGAAAAACAGTGGGCAATTTCTCAGTGAAAGTGAGAATTATGGAATTGAAAGGGAATAGGTTCCTTTTATAATTGATAAGATACATAGTTTTACCTTGTAGACCATTTTCATCATTTATATTTAAATATATAGGAAATGATAGGAGGTATATTTTTAAATATAATATTTTTCTTTATTGAGAATCTCAACCTCTCCAGGGTTGTCAACCCTACCCCCTCTCATCTTGGGACCATTATTTGGGTTCTTTTTGCTTATTTCTTCTGATCCCTGGGCCTCAAATAGGCAGACTAACTCTGTGAAACAACAGATAAATAATTTTGTAGCAAAACCTATTCAGATACATTATCATAAGTTAGCTATGGAGGACCACGAGACTCAAGATGAGGTTGTTACTTTATCCAGGGTGTTCCCAAAACCCATCTCCACCCAACCTAAAAGAGGGTACTTCCTCCCCTAAACCAGGCAGAGAGGGGATACCCAGAACCCCCTCTGACAGGTGACCTGAATTCTTGCTTAGGCTGCGAGGCTAAGCAATGCAAGGGAATATCAATAAAAGTTAAAAATATCTCTCTGGGTTCCCTGAGGGACAAGCCTGGCTGCATAGGGGTTGATGTCAAAAGTATCCCCTCTCCAGGAAAAAGACATCAGGATGGGTATGGCCCTCATGCCTCACTGGACAACACCAGGGTGACCGGAGCCATTACAAGGTCCCCTTCAATTACTGGAGGTCAGACCTCTATCCCTGACTTCGCAAGATTAGATTCGCCACAGCCCTTCTATACTTAGAAAAGGGAGGAGATGTCAGGGGAATCCCTGCTTACACACTGAAGGCCTAAAATCAGCCATAGGCCTAAAATCAGCAATAGGCCTGTCATACATGTATACTAACACCAAGTCTTGGGTCTCTGTGGATAAACACTGAAACAGATGGCTATAAACTATTGTAAACAGGCAGTTTTTGTGACAATTTACCAGCCTGAGTAGTCATAGACCTTGTAAATCGGTAGCCTTAGCAGATATTACCAACTTAGATAAGGACAAGTGAATCATAGGCAGAGTCATAGTGATCTGTCCCCTGAACCCTCACCCAGCCAATACCCTGTTCTGAAAAAATATCAGTATTCCCCCTGAATACCCAAGCTCCAGTGTCATCTCCTTCCCCACGTCCTTCCTTTTTGTGTTTACAACCCCTGTGTGAATAAGTATAAATTACAATTTGAAAAAGAAATAAACAGCTTTGCTAAAAAAAAACAGAATCACTATCATTAAAAAAAAAGAGAATTGCATACAGTGTATTTGGATTACATTCATTCCCACTCATCCTACATTCGCTGCACACCCTCTACCATCTGTTTTGGTGGTGGTGGTGCTGGTGCTGGTGCTGGTGGTGCTGGTGGTGCTGGTGGTGCTGGTGGTGCTGGTGGTGGTGGTGGTGGTTGAAGTTAATAAATGTTCATTTCTTGATGCCCAAATGCTCATGGGTGTGGAGCTATTCACTGAAATGTAATTGACAAGAGTTATGATCTTAAATAAAATGGATTCTGCCTCTCTCAGAAGCCATTAACTGTCAGTAACTCTTTAGTTAGGGGTAGTAGCTTTTGAGGTCCTATACCTTCCATATTAGAATATTGATTGGCTGGATTTCATGCAGTTAGCAAAGCTTCTATGAGTTTATGAATATAGCAGTATTATGTCATGTCTAGAAGACAGTATTTTGCTCTGGTCCTCCCAGTCTTCTGGTTCTTACAATATTTCTGATCCTCTTTCACAGTAGTCCTTGAGCCTTGCTGATAGCAAGAGGAGAAAATATTGATCTCCCATTTGTAGCTGACTTCTCTAGTAGTACTTTCTATGCTTTGACCAATTGTAATTTTCTGAGTTAACCATCAACCAGTGCATAAAGAAACTTCTTTGATGAGGTTGGAAGACTATACTAATCTCTTGATCTCGAACTACAAATTTGAAAGGCAGTTTGACACTATGTCAGTTCATCAGAATATTATTATTAGGGGTGTCTTTACCCCCCCTCCCCCCGAAACTGTTACCTTACTAACTTTGGCCTGGGTGCTTGACCTGATTTACCACAGCAGGCATGTATTTACTCCAATGGAATAGGCTTTAAGTTCAATCAGAAAGCTGTTGACTATCCCCATAACAATTGTGCCACTATTGCACTTATGTTTATGTGTCATATTTGTTCATTGAGGTTGAAACTAGGTAAGACTGTTGGTGACTGTTTTTTTCTAGCAGCCTACATAACACCCTTTCATACTATGAAAGCTATCCCTGGTCAGTATAAACTCAATTTCTTCCTAACAATGAATGACTGAAGTGTATGATGTCTTCAAGCAATAGAGTCTGTAGATAGTATGTTTTATGACTGATACCATCTATTCTTCCTGAGATTTTCCTTTTGGCTCATTAGGAGTTAGGCTCTAATTAGGCACCACAAGTCTCTGTGTAGGGTCAGCACTTTGGAGTCTCATGCAGGCATTGTGAATGTCAGGGCACTCTGAGCTATATGGTGAGACTGTATTTAATAGATATTTTTAAAAAAATCTGAGTAAATAACTGTATGATGACTGGCCTACTATACCTGTCTGTAAACAGTTGTTAAAATCATTGACATTGTGAAACCTGAGAGTTACAGAAAATTAAATCAGTTTTGGATGTTATTAAGTATCTAGATAATTGTTAAGTCAGATGAACTACTAAAACACTAATTACTAAACCTAAATTTAGGTTTATATACTTTGGATTTGGTAACTATATATAGTATAGAGACGTAAAAGTATATTGGCCCTATTAATTATCATGAAAAAATATATTATGTGGGAATTGCATTTACCTATAAGAGATGCATTCACAAAATTTGTTAGTCTGCTTGTATAGGATGCTGGTATAACATCATAATGATCTCCTCTCTAGTTTTGTCTGCAAAGTAAGAATTACTTATAGTTAAAAATTACAATCAAGATATGTAATTAAAATTACTAGAACTAATAAGGGTGAGCAGAAAATGACGGTACATAAAATATTCAAGGAAGGTAAGATATGTTTTTAATAAGGAAAAGTATACAGGATAAGAAGAATGTGTTTTAATTAAGTAAAAACTAAAGAACAAGGCTACTGTGTTCTAAAGACTACAGTTGTTCTAAAAGCAAGAAAGAAGGGAAGAGTAAGATGAAGAATCAATGTATATAAGGAAATTGGAGAAGGTTTTTAGAGACAGATTTTTGTTTGTTCAAGGTAATAAGATTAGATGGATTTCACTGTAAGAGACTTTTCCTCTTCATTTTGTTTGTTTGTTTTATAAGAGATCAGTAATGAGATGGGCATTGTGGCTGACAGTTCTAATTCTACCACAAGGGAGACTGAGGCAAGAGGATTGTGTTGAGTTAAAGCCAACATAGAAAGTAGTGTGAGGCCCTTTCTGAAAACAACAGTAGCAAAAGAGCTCAAGAATACATAAAGGCAAATCTAAAATTTGATTTTTCAGTGTAAAAAGCACATAATTTTATTAGATTATTCAACAACATTTTCTTATATTATTAAACTTTTTTTGTTGTTGGACAATTCCCCCAGGAAACAGCAAGCTCTTTGTCTTATGTAAATAACATTTTAAGTCTAGGAATCTTGTCAACTACTTGTCCTTTGGACTAAAAACTAAGCTTTGCATTTCCCTTGTTTTCAAAGAAATTTCACTAAATGCTTGCCTGAATACTTTTACAAGCAAGCAAGTTTATTCTACCAAACAAGGAAAAGGTTTATACTGTTTGAAGGAAGGGGAAAATGTCTATTCTTTCCTCAAAAAAAAGGAAAATTTAAAAAGGGGGAAGGATTGGCCATTTAATCAGGTTATTTGGATGAGGAAGCACAAATGACTTCTTTCCCCACCTCAAGACTCATTATCACAGACCTTCTAGACTGTAACAATCCCCTTTAGAATACTCCTTTTTTGGTCTTTGACAAGTCTTGATTTTTGTTCTTTGTCAGCACATATCTGCATCACTCACCACCACCTCCATCTTTACATCCTTTTCTCTTTTACATCTTGTTGTTTTGAGTTTTGTTGCTGTTTGCTTTGTTTTGGTTTGTTTATGAGACAGCTTCTCTTACTAAGCAGTCCCAGTTGGCACAAAATTCCCTATGTAGTTCATGTTGGCCTGGAACTCACGATCCTCTCTCTGGCTCTACTGTTTAAATTGTGGGGTTTTAAATATGCACTGTCATACCCAGCTCTATCTATTTTTTATTGCATAATGCTGTGTGTTGTACATGGTAGACATTACAAAACTATTCACTAATAAATAACTGAATAAATTAATGCTAAACAATAGGGAACAGGGAACTGGGAAAAAAATGAGATTTCTGACCATAATTACAGGAATTCCAGAGCTCTTACAATCAGGAATAGTTTTTTTTTCTGTTTGTCACAAGGATATACATGGAACTGGGGGTTTATTACAAAGAGTGACTTTGCCACATTTTCTGTCCTTCACAGGCTTAATTTTTCACAGGCAACAACATTCTTTGGGAAAAAAAAAGAAAGAAAATTAAGATCCAGTTTCACATTTTCCCCTACAGGTAGGATTCACAAGATTTTTTTCCCTTCTGATAACATTTTGCTTCCTCTTCTCTCCTTCAAGGTCTTTCTGCATTTTAGAGCACAAAAGCAAATGCATGAAAGAATCATAAAACTTTCACAAGGGTCTTAAGTACCTCAAGTTCAAGTTGGCCTATATTCTCCAAAGTCCTACTAACTTAGGAACTCTCCATTTACTTTCAAACTTGCTTATTCATCCCAGAGAAAGAGTGCCCTGATACTAAATTCTTTGAAAAAGCATATTGTTATAGAGAGGGCTTTCAGGGATTCAAAAGCTAATTTCCAAGGCTATAGGAAAACCCTATGGTATGACAGAAAAAAATATTTAAAAAAAAAATGGTCTTTATAATTTCTAAATACTTTTGACTGCTCTTTAAAACAGCCTAACTGAAAGGTATCTCAGACAAGAACACAAGTAGTTTCTCATCCTAGTTTGGGAAGCACAGTAGACTAGAAGGATTTAACTATAAGCAGGATGTTGAGGGAGTAGCCAATTCAATTGCCAGTGCACTGGGGTTTGCTTTTGTGTGTTTATAGTACCCACCACCATATACTGTGATCTGAATGGATATGGCTTCGCAGTATCTAATGTGTCAGTGATTCAGCAGTCCCTGGACCTTCAGGAGCTCATCATTCATGAGCCTTAGGTGAGGAATTGTGTTGTAGATGTATCCATTCAGACTGGGTTCTACAATTCCACATCTTGATTGGTTGTGGTTTTCTGCAATCTGTTACAATGAACATTTCCCTTGATTAGGGGTAGGAACTACACTTATCTGTGGAAATAAGGAAAAATATTTAGATTGTATTAGAGATTATTCTAATCTAATAAAGTGGCAGTTGTAGATCCTTTTCTCTGATTCATAACTTCACTATCTCTGGCTACAGTTTTCAGTACAAGGATGATTTTGCTCTTTGTGGGCCTTACATCCAACTAGAGAGCTGTTGGTTACCACCAAGGAATGCATGCCACTACTGCACAATTAGAATTAGCATGTCATGTTGGCCATTGTTGTGGTTCATAGGCATCATAGGTGGGTAGGACTGTTAATGGATTCCTTACCATGAAAGGTAGTCTCCTTAGAGAGGTTCAGATCAGGGATCTCTGGGTCTTAAGTACAAAGTGTATGCATGATACAAATAGGCATGCTGATGTGGGCAGGGGAAAGGTCACAATGCCTAAACTCCACACAAAGAACTACAGATAACTAATGAATGCTAACAGTGGAAATTGTAGTATACCTCAGCGGAAAAAAAGCACACCAATTGGTTACTCAATAACAAATGATCATCCCTGAAACCATACACAACCAAAAGCCATTATACAGACTGAGCATGTTTAGGAATACATTCCATACTTATATATCTAATAACAGTTAATAAAAGAAGAGTCCATTAATTTGAAAGACATAAAAGTGATATATAGAAGAGGATATGAGGAAAAGGAAGTGGGTAATGGTTTAGTTATATCCTAATCACAAATAAAATAAAATAAAATAAAATAAAATAAAATAAAATAAAATAAAATAA